AAAAATAGAGTACATAAATAAATACCAAAATTTTCTATTGAACATTCCAAACAAAACCATCTAAAAGTGAGGACTGGCGAGCAGCTGCCATCGTCTTCTTCCCCAAGCCAGCCTGAAAATTTGCCAGTAAACGCAGAAAACCTCCTATGGTTGAGAGAGAAAAAGGAAAGAAAACAGGGCCCAACATGAGGAGAGACATTAATAAAGCCCAGGGGCCCAAACTTCTGTCTCACGACACTTTCTCTCTCTACACACTGCTCCCCCTTCCACCTTTAAAGCCTTCGCTCCCTTTCCCCCAGAAAGAAACAACCCATACCCAAAAGCCGGGAAGACTAGAATCCTTACCTGAACCCTAGCCATGCCGGAGATTGTCGCTCCGGCATTTACCAACGCCATTGCTCTATTGCTCGTTTCTTTCCTCCTCCTTCCGGCGCCTACTGCAGCAATCCTGATACCGACCGATTATCTAGCTCTGCAATCCATCCGTAAGTCTCTCTACGACCTCCCGGGCTCTTTTTACTTTGCATCATGGGATTTCACCGCCGATCCCTGCACCTTTCCCGGAGTTCTATGCCGCAATGATCGCGTTGTCGCCCTCGCTCTTGGCGATCCACGCGCAGGCTCTCCGGGCCTTTCCGGTCAGCTTTCTCCAGCCCTCGGCCGCCTCCCTGCACTTGCCGAGCTCTCACTGGTTCCCGGCCGTGTTTCCGGCGCCATTCCGTCGTCCATTTCTTTATGCTCCTCGCTTCGTTTCCTTGCTCTGTCACGCAATATGCTCTCTGGTACCATTCCTCCTTCCATCGCCTCCCTAGCTCACCTCCGCGTCATCGACATCGGCTACAACTTCCTCTCCGGCACCATCCCTCCTCTCCTCACTCGTTTACCCTCTCTCTCAACCCTCATTCTCTCCGGCAACCGTCTGACCGGCCCCATCCCTACATTCGCCCCAAACTCCCCTCTCGTTCGGCTCGATCTGCAGCGAAATCGGCTATCAGGACCCATTCCCGTTTCGCTTCCCACCTCTCTCCATTACCTCTCCCTCTCCTTCAACCAGCTATCCGGCCGCATAGACCACATTCTCCCTTCCCTCCGCCGCCTCACATTCCTCGACCTCAGCTCCAACAGTTTCTCCGGCCCCATTCCCGGCTCCATCTTCACTCTCCCAATCTCTTCTCTTCGTCTCCAGCGAAACTACTTCTCCGGCGATCTCCACCCTTCCGTCCCCGTCCGTATCCCATACATCGATCTCAGCTTCAACCGCCTCGGCGGGCGGGGTCCCGCCGCGC